CCCGTACCGCGCGCGAAGGGCGGGGGCCCCCCCCCCCCCCCCCCGCACCCTCCGGACAAACTGCCCATGGGTCTGTCTTGTGCTCCACCCTGGCTGGGCAGCACCAGCCCTTGCCCCTGCCCCAGCCCCATTCCTTCCCTCACCGTGCAGGCCTCAATCTGTCCCTCCAGGTCTTACTGGCTGGATGCTGCTCTCCACGCTACCAGGCTGCATTCCTAGCCACATGCATACTGTGCCTGTGCACATGTACATGGCATTTATCAGTGACATTATCAGCTAGACTGACCAAAAAAAGCCGATTGCTGATAATGTTAATTTTCCTTTTATTGGTGCTGATCCGATATGGACCGATATATCAGTGCAACTCTAGAGAGAATGTTAGATGGGTATCTGCCAAGTGACCAAAACCTAGCTCATCCATGAAGAGAGAGAGGGGGAAGAGAGACTGACCTTTTGACTCTTTAAAACCTTTATTTTAAAAATATTAAAAACAAAAAGTCAAAGCGCAAGTATGTGACAGTCCCAGGAACATGAAATACTTGTCATTAACAAAAAGCACTCAGATAACCAGAGACTGAAATCCTCTTTCCCTAGCATCCTTCATGTGATAAACCAGGGGTGCACAAATGTTTGAGCCCAGAGAGTCACATAGGGAGTTTTCATGAGATACTGTGGGCCACATTAGCACACCTACCCCCTGCAACAACTCACCAAATCTCCCTATGTAGTATGGGGCTCCAGGCAGGCAGGGAGCAGTGTTTGAGGCAACGGACACTAGTTCTACAGGCAGGGGCGTGCCAGGAGTGGATCTCAGCTCTACCCTGGGCCCTGGCCCAGTGCTGTCACCACTCCAAGATCCCAGCCCGGGGGGCAGCTCCTTACCCAGCCACATGTCTCCCAGCCGGTTTCCATTTACAGCCCAGGATCGCAGGGAAGAAACAGCATGGGGCCCTGTGGGGTGGGGAGTATGGGGGGGACAGGAACTGGCCCAAACAGTGCAGTCCATGGCACTCCACATGGGGTTGAGCTTCAACTGCTCCTGCCTAAGACACCCGGTTCTGTGCTCCTGCTCACACCTGCCAGCTTGGCCCCAGCCAGAGTGCACAGCCTACCAGCAGGGTTGCTCCCTGTGCAGCTGCAGCCACTTGGGTGCTGCTCAGCTCCCCTTGCCTCCAGCAGTAGCTCCTCCTCCTTCCCCTGCCCCTGCTGCACCGCTCTGGGTGGGGAGGAAGCTTCAACCAGGTGGCTCCTGCCCCAGTGTGTGGGGCTCTGGCTTCAGCTCCTGACTGCCTTCTACCCTTTGACTGGCTGCAAGAGGAGGAGCTGCCACTGGAGACAAGGGAGCTGAGTAGCACCAGGGCAACTGCAACCACATCGGGAGCAGCCCATCCAGAAGCTGTGCATGGCTGGGACCTGGGCCAGCTGGCACAGGCTGCCCCAGGTGGGACTCAGCACCATATGGAATGCCATGGAAGCAACATGGACTAGATCCAATCAACTGACCCATTCTCCCCCATGGGCCAGATCTAATCAGCTGGCAAACCGAATTGAGCCCATAGGCCATATTTTGCCCACCCCAGGGTTACACATTTAGGATTAGCTATCTTCTTCTTCATGGAGCAAACCCTCAATGGCTCAGTGCTACACAAACTGGTCTAACATTTGGTTGTAAAGTGAAGTGTCCTAACTCAAATAAGACATTTTGCCCACCCCAAGAAATAGAAGAGCATTATCGGAGCTGGCCCCTGCAAGCTGATTTCTGTGGCTTTTCAAGGTCATCATTTTGACCTAGCTCAGCAGGAAATTGGCAAGAGAGAGGGAAAGGGGTGTAGAGGATATTTCTTCCCCTTTAACTGCAGATAACAATGATAACAGAGGTCTAAAATTAGCAGATATTCCATTTTAAGAACAATTTGTTCAAAAATTCATCTGACAAATAAGAAAGAGCCACTTATGAATTCTGATTAGAAGTAACTTAGATTCAAGACAGGCAATTGCCAAGCAGTGACTCAAGGCTGTCTCTTTCATTTTCCTCTCCACCTGACTCACTGAAGAACAAACAGTAATCTGTTAGGAATTAGTTATAGTCTCCCTACCTTTGGCCAGCATTCACTATAATCCTCTTCCCCTTCAGAAGCCTTTTCATCCAAAGATGGGTCTATGTCTTGCTGTCTCCAGGTTTTAAATGCTGCTCCCATAAGACCATGAACAAAAAGTATGTCTGCTTTAATGGGCTGGCTGATATTAAGGAAAAAAATAAAAAGTAGGATACATATTATTTTAATAAATTACAACACATTTGCACAAAAACTTGTACCCTAAAGGATCCCAAAGTGCTGTTTTTAATTGTGTATAATATCTTGTATGTTACAGAGAACACACTTCACAAAGGGTACACAGAACAAGATCTAAACTGATGAACTGCACAGAACACATCAGGCTAGGGAAAGAGGAGGACATGAAAAAGATCCAGTACAGATGACATTAAACTCATCCCAGCTTTCTGCAGTCAGCTTGCTACAATTGGAGATATGCAAAACAGGGAAGAGGCTGGTGAGTCACTGTGAGCCCAAACAGATACATTTTCAACTCATAAAATGCCTGGAAAATTGAACCAATACCTCCCACAGCTCCAAAAGAAAATTGTAATTCTTATGGGACATTAGCCATACCAGGCCACTGAGTAAACTGATGATGTGATTTAAGGGACAGAGTGAAAGAAGGGGACACCCCACAATCTCTTGGCAGTATCATTTAGCCTACATTAAGGAGTACTAACAAACTTAGGCAGATCCAGGATTTTAAAAAGAGGGGGTGTGGGAGCAGTGACTGGTGTTGCAAGTATGGCTGCACTCCCCTGCTCTTAGCATTTCTTCCCTCCCTCGCCCTCTCTACTTAGGCTTCTGAATGCAAGAAGGGGAGATCTGTCCACTGCCACACTGGCCCAACTGCTCCTGCCTCATTCCAGCCAGGCCTATAGGGAGGTTGCATGGGGAGCTGGGCTCATCTGGGGACAGTGGAGGTAACAGGCAGGTGCTCCCTGCTAGTGCCTGCTCCCAGTTTGGTGGGAAACACCTGTGCAGACTGGGCAGGGAGAAGGAACTCACGTGCTGCTGCCACAGCCCCCAGCCAAGCCCAGTTCCCCATGCCACCCAGGTGGGGTGGGACAGAGGTGGCTTTGCAGCTCTCCCCACCCTCAGGCTGGTTGGGGGGCAATGGCAGAGGCAGGTAGGGGGAAAGAGGAATGGGAGGGGAGAGGTGCTGCTGAACATGGAGAAGAAGGGATGGGATTCTGAAGGGGTGGGGAATTGTTACCTGCTTCGGGACTCAAAAGTTCCTGGCTGCTGCTTCTGCAGCATGGTCCAAAAAGGGGGGTGAGATCATACCACTGCACCCCTTCTAGATTCACCTGTGCTAACTTGCAGCCTGTACCCTGTGTCCCATTTTGAATCTTTCTACTGAGAGATAATTTCTTTTCCCTCTCTGCATTTAATACCCAGGCAAATTTGCATCAAATCTGGGGAGAAATGTGTCCCTGATACTACACCAAGAGTTCTTGCCACTATTAATGTGACAAAGGAAATGCCTCACCTCCAGATACCCTGAAAAAGTTGCTCATTTAATGGACAGAAGAATATATTACTAGTGTACAGGAGAAACAATGGAAAGAAAGTTGGGGGGTGGAGGGGGCATGTGCCAATAAACCAGGTATGCCAGACAGCAAGTCCCTTAAGATTTTGCAAGAGCAGCAGAAAACAGGAACTGCACAGTGCAAGTGCTACTTGCACACAGCACAAATGCAAGTTTGTCCCTGCAGGGATGGCAACAGGAAATGGGAACACCACTGTACAGAATCCTGCTTACTAATACATGCAGTCCTCTCTGTCCACTACAATAGTACTGAGGACTTCCATTAATAAATGTCAATAGGACCTTCAAATATGACAATTAGTTTCCTACAGTGGAGGCAAATATTCCTTGGTTCCAAAAGACTGGTTACAAGAAGGTGCTGCCACTGCAGAAGGGCAGAGTCAAAGTTGCATTACTGCACTGAGAGTCAAGAAATTCTTTAACTGTACATTTCCTGAGTTTTCTTGCTGTAACAACACTTATTTATGGGCATGAAAGAGGCTTCTCTCAGAATTTCCTAGTTTTAATTTTGAGGTACTGAAGTTCCCCACTCCGGAATGACAGGAAAAAAGAGATGTTACTGTTGTGCAGCAACAACCCTATCTCCAGCATTATGAAGTACTTTATAAGAGAAATATTATGTGATAGATCATAGCCCTTTCTTTTTACCTGCTACGATACTGTGGATGTAAAACATATACTCCATCTGAATACTTTTCTTGCACTGTATCCCTGTCCAGATTAGCCAGAGCTCTGGCTGCATGTGAAAACTGAATGACATGAGGTGACTTCATTACTTCAGCGAGTACAGAAACCCAACCTAGTTTAAAACACACAGACATCTAACATTAGTTGTAAATTACTAAAACCTCTCATTTGGAAGAAAGATAGTAGAAATGTCATTGGTTTATCTCCTATTTGAAAAAAGGAAGTTTTCCAAAATAAACGTAAGAGCATAAGGACTGTAATACCAGGGGGAAAAAACCCACAATCAATTTCAATCTAGCTTTCCGGTCTCTGACAGGAGCCAGTGCTGCACAGTAAAATATCTCTAATACGTGGAATTGTATAAAAAATATCCCACAATGATGTGGTAGACAATTACTTTCCAACTCCAACTGGTAATTTATAATCTGAAACTAGAGCCTTCTTTCTCCTGGGGAGGAGATAATGCATCCTTCAGTTCTTCCCAGCACCTGCAAAAAAGAGGGAGGAAGGAAGGGTACAAAGATCCCAGGTCTCCACAAATAATGAAACCACAAGGAAAAGTAGGGCAAAGAAAACTTTCCCTCCTACATTTAGAAGGAAGAGAGGAGAAGACAGACAGAGAGAGACTGGGCACATCTACAAGTGACACTACATCACCATAGCAATGCACTATGGCAATGTAGTGTCTGCACTGGCAAAAACCATGATGCTGCTACTACATCACCATAGCAACGTACTCCCTCAGTATAGTGCATTGCTATGGCGACATAGGAACTAAAAATAATTGTGCGCTGCTGGCATGTCACAGTACAGGCTGTTACCACGCCATCATTTATTACTCCCAAAAGGAAGTGCTAAATGACAGCACAGTAACAACAGCGCCATAGACGTGTAGATGCGCCCACAGAAACTTTCTTCCAGAAGCCATTCAGGAAGAAGAGGGTCTGTCATGTTGGGACTGGGTAGAAGGAGAAAGCTGCCTCTGCTTGCCAGTCAGGAATGACACAATGGGAAAGAAAACCAATGCTTGTTAAGGGACTACAACCATTTCTGACTTTAAAACCCATGGGTGTAAGAAGTATACATTAAGAACATTTTCAATCTTTATGATCCCAAGCATAACCATGCTACTTACACATTGCTTGTACCAAAACAACTGCATGCATAATGCAAAATGTTGTACAACACCCTAACACAGTCTCAACTGCCCGCCCCACCCCCAAGGCAGAAACTTCATAAAATCTCATTGTTCACTGCTGTTTACAATATAACTCACATTCATATCTAATATAGTGGTTCTCAAGCTACCCCACAGAAAATGGCAAGTCTTACTTTTCATCCTATTTATTACAGAAAAATAATAGAACATTTTCTCTGTTGCAAAAAAGCTCAGAAAGACCACAACAGGTCAAAATATTTTCAACACCATGGATAATTATTTGAAATCTCTGGGTTTATCTTGTGACTCATCTTTACACACCTAAAAGTACTAATATTGTATAGCATTCCATAGGTCCCTTAAAAGGACCGTAAAGCATGCTGATCGAGAATCACTGGTATAATAGTTATCAATCAGTTTGGACTATTAAGAATGAATGGCAAGGGAAAGGTTTATGAATATTAAAGCCTCAAAATAAAAATATGAATCCCACCTTTGTCACAAGAAAAAAAAAAAAAAGGGACTGAAGGCTTAAAAAAGAAAAAAAAAGAGGCTGAGATTAAACCCAGAACTGAGCCCATTACAGGCAAACACTTTGGAAACAAGACATTCAGAACAAACACTGTAATCAAGCAACCAAAGAAGAAATTTCTCCAATACAGTTTTGCACTTAAAAGATTAATTTTTAAAGCAATTTTTCTCCTTTAACAATTGTCCACTTTTTGCAGATAGATCACTGAATTTCACAAAAAATGCTTGCATCAATGGACTCACTGATTTCTCAGATCTTTGAAGCCAAGGAAAAAATAATTTCAGTGGAAGAGGAAGATAAACAAAGAACAAGGAAATGTGGAAGCAGTCAAATCAGGAGGCCATAACTGTGTTGGTTAAATCATAGCTTGTAAGACCCTGGTTGATGTTAGCTAAAGGATTTTTTTTTATCCCAACTATTTTAAGCTAATTTTGCAAAGAAAATCTGAAAACACTTTGAAGAGAGATAGTCAAGTGGGGACCCCACTTGAAAAGGAGATCAAATTGCAATTTACTTGGCCATCATCATTCTAATTGCCACTCAGGTACAGCTACTGGAATCTGAATAAGAGCTTTTATCTGTCGGAACCAGCTTCTCCCTTCTGCTGGATTCTGCAATGAAGTCATCATCCCGGAGACCGTGATTTCACTGAGGGCTGGAGCCTCACAGATTCTGGATTACTAAAGCATTGTAAAATTGAAGGAGAGAAAGAAAGGCTGCAAGGATGACATTTGTTTGAAAACAACTCTGAAAACAAGCAAAAATTACATGTCATAAGACATATGGAAACATAAGTTAATTTTTAAAGTCAGACACATTTCAAAGGGGTGTGAAATGTGAAAATCCTTCTTAAAGAGAACTGAAGTCATATATTATTTGATGATCTTTTTAACTCAACAGTGAAAATAACCAAAATAGTTGGATTACAACAGGAAGAACCTCCAAGCTTCTGTATATCCCTTGAACTCAAACATTTAGAGAGTCAGAAACAATCAGTCAGTTAAGAATGCCTGCTGTCTCTCAGAGATCATAGCATGGATACATTTTCTACCATTTCCTCCCCATTTTTTCTTGTACTGGCAGCCCTTACAACAGAAGAAAGGTACGGAGGGCTCACCGGCTCTTTCTACTCTGATCAGCATCTTACCAGGACAAGTAGGTAATCTGTTCTCCAGTTCTAGATGAACAGAACCCAGCAGCTCTTCTATGGAGCATCGGTGTACTGTCTCTAAAATTAGTAAAATATTCTGACAGATACTGCTTCAGTATAATTGCAGGACTGGACATAAATTCTAGAGGGTGCTTTTTTAAAGGGAGTGGGAGGAAAGCAGAAAGAGCCAACAGAAGTCATTAGGTCTGCTCCAAAATGAAGGAAGAGATGTACTTGTCAGTTCACTCCCAATGGTAGAAGAACAGATCTACTTGGCATACTTACAAGAGAACACAACAAATAAGGAAAGATGCAACTTATTGGCTTGTACTGAACATTTTACAGAAGCACCAAATTCATTAAAAAATTCAAAACAAAAGCAAGGTATCCAGTCTGCTTCCATTTGCTTTCCTTTTACCTGCACGCACTATGGATGAATGAAGACGTTCATCCAAAGCCATATTTCCAATTATGCGAATTATGTTCCTTTGTATTTTTGCAGAATCTTTACGGAGCTGGTATATCCTCTGGAGTAGCTGCAGGCCTCCTTTTGCTTCAATTTTATCACAGTGAGTAGAAACCTAGCATTATATAGTAAATACAGCAACCGTAAGTGGAAGCTGTGCAAGCACCCAACTCTGCAAAAGTTCCCTGAGATGCTGTCAATACACAGAAGGCAGAGCAGAAACAATGCATTACATATATACCTTACACAGAAATTCTGCCTTCACTTAAGATTAGGGCTTATGTTTTGTGCAAGTCTTCCAGTTTAACAATTTATGACAAACATATCTTCCATAATTTTTATCATTTCAGTTTTTGAATGTCACAAACTTGGAAAAGACGCAAATGTTTTAATACATAAACTATACAATCATTACATTTGGACAGCTTGATATTGTGAAAGTGCTCAATGCCTTAACTGCCTACTGCATTTAATAGAAAGCAAGAACGCTCACTGCCCTTCACAAACAAGCATTAGGCTATTATTCTCCACAGCCCAGGTCATTCTTACTAAAGCAATATGTCACTGGGGTTGCTTACTCTGCTCTCCATACACTACCCCTTTTCATTCAGTGAGATGACATTATTTCTAATATGCTTCTGTCATCATTGATTTTCATGGCAGCAAAGAAGCCAATGTAAGCAGATGACCTCACATTTATCACCTCTACTGTAGACAACTGCTGCTGTGCAGGCACCAGCAATATTAAACTTTTTATGATAGTGCTGAGCACTGGGGCTATAGCTGTGGTAGAAGCACTGGCAAGTTGCATTTGGCTAATTCCTAAAATAGATTCTAGTTCAGTAGATACTGCTCAGTATATATTCACTCAGCTTCAGATTTACACACCTCTGAGCTCTGCTGCGCTCTTCTTCTATAACTCATATTATTAGGGCAGGCATTGCAGGGCACTACTGTCACACACCATTCCACATTTGTTTTTCTTATATAGGCAAACATTCATTTTTGGGAGGCATGTTATAAAGACATTAGTTTTTGATTGCAAGGTTCTTTGTAGAGGTAGAAATTCTTGGAGAGGGAGTCATGTGATTAGCCAGAGTTTGCTCCCCACCTTAATCTTAAATTAAAGCCACTTAATAAGACAGAGTTGTCCTCCAGAAAGGAGGCTTTAGTGTAAGACAGACTCCTGAAAGAAGGAACTGCCTGCTTGCTGCCTCACCATCCTAGTTTTAGGACTGATATGTGCTTATACACAGGACAATTTAAACTTTTAACCAGACTCACATCACCAACTATCTCCTTTGCAGAGCAGCTGTCTTACAAAACCTTGGACACCTGCTACCACTCAGCAAAACAGGGACACTGATCTAAGTGACAGTGATGTAAGGCTAACTGTAGCAAGATTATCTCCATCAGAACTTGAGGGTTGAAGCTCTGGAAGAGACATACTGCACAAGGATCTCCTCAGGAAGCCTGCCCCCGATTGTCTTATAGTTTTATTGGGTAACTGCCTCACACTGGAACAACCTCTTAGAGCCTGTCACAAACCTGAAAGATCCATGCTGATGCCAAGCACATGCCCCAGTTCTTCCTGGCCATGGGTGCCATGGAGAAAGTCTTAAAAGAGGCTCCACAATTTAAATACCAGGGAATTTTTATGGAGCTTCTTGGGAGGAAATATCATCCAATGGGAAATGTCCATAAAATCGTACAAGTTTCCCACTTCGGCCCCACTAAAGCATGCATCCCACTCTGTTAACATAAAACTTTATCCATGTATTACCTTTGAATGTTGAACTAATGCTTGTAAACAGAAGAGTTCAACAGTCTCTGAAGGGATTTTACTCAGAGTCTCGCAGTAAGGAAGTCCATTTCCTCCAAAACACCACAACCCCCCCTGAAATAAGAATCAATAAGCATTACATCAATCTCAAATGGTTAAATAAGAAGTTCTTTTCATTTGCTTTTTCATAGACTTCATAGACATTAGGGCTGAAAGGGACCTCGGAAGATCATCGAGTCCAGCCCCCTGCCTCAGGGGCAGGAAGTCAGCAGGGGTCATAGGATCTTTTTGAAAATGTTCAAGTGTGCATTGACCTCTAAAACTGGTATAGCAGTTACTGGTGTGTATGCATCATGTTAAAAAACAACAACCCATACATACTGAAAAAATGGACTGTCTAGGAAAAAAAAAAGACATCCTGTTAGATTAGCAATTTATATCCTAATAACCACAAAACAGAATAAAAGAACAAGCAGGATTTCCGTTTGTATGATTATAATGATTCCTTTTCACAATGCTGACCTGTTGTGGTCTGAGTTTTTCTGCAATACAAATTGCTCTATTATTTTTCCATAGTCAAAAAAATGAGTGAAAACTAAGATCTGGCATCTTCCTGAGAGCTACTTTGAATCTGAGAAAGGTTGAGAACAACTGATTGAGACTAATGGCCACTGACTGAGAGAGACTTGAGGAGATAAACATGTGCGCTCCCTCACTTATCCATAATCTATAAAAGGCTGTCACTCCTAGGGTGGTAGGATCAGCCTGGTGTGAGGACAGGGAGAGCTTCATCCTTTCAAACTGTCCATAACAAAACATTCCTACTGGTGAAAATGCAGCATACAACTGTAAGGAGAAATAAAGCTTCTGCTTTTTTAAATCTATGGAAGAAAGATGTCCCATAAAAGGTAAACATTGTTATTAAAAAGAAGACTTTGATCATTCTGTTACACTTCAATATAACAATCACTGTTTACAGCCCATAAGGACAGAGTAGGTAAAATATTCTGCGGTTGCACTTTATGTTAAAGACACCATTATCCAAGACAGTATGATCCTGTTTTATAGATAAGAATGAATAGTAAAAATGCATGTTAATGTGTGGTTCTCATTCTGAAAACTCTCTCTGAAAAATGGCCTTGACGGGCTGAATGTTATTCTCTTGCTCTAATTTATTCCACATTAAGCATGTTCATCTTACAAGTGTTTATTTCCTCTTCCACCTCCTGCCAATACCAATCCTGAAAATAAAGCTAGGGAAGCAGGAGCCAGGTCAGATCCCTTCTGGATTGTACAACTTTAACAATGAAAATTCCTCAACTGTAGCATTTCTACTGCTATCAAGCAAGCCAGGAAAGAATCTAGTTTGCTCTACTTCAGTGACTTTAATTCTGTAGTGCTAACAGAAATAACAAACAGTAAACTTCTTTTCTTGTTAAAGTCAGGGAGATATGAGTCACATACACATAGACAAGTGTCTTGACAAGCAACCTACCATTTTTAGTCACTAGCAATAATTGCTTTAAGTGACCTCTCTAAGCCCAACTAGTAAATTAGTGGATTGAGATTCAAAGCATTCCTAGCTTCCAGGTCCAGGCTCAGATCTCTGAAGCATCTTGACTCCTATCACCTGGACACTTCCATATGGATGGTCAGTTCCAGATGATAGTTACGTAAAATTTACAACCTTAGAAGTATCTCCAGGCTGTTCTCTCACTTGATTAATAAGGGTTAACAATCTCAGCAATAAACACCACTAAAATAAACAACAATAAAATAAAATGGAATAGAAATAATTTTAAGAGCACTACACAGGGAAGTAAGGCTTCTATGTAAACTGTTAAACTATTTACTTAGAAGAGGTTTAACTTCACCCATCCTCCAAGAGTAATACTACAAAGATTCTTCATATTTCTCTTAACTAAAAAGCTCAGATGTGTGAAATATGTTCCCATTGCCCTTGAACTTTCCAGACACTACTTGCTTTTTTTCAAATATTGATAAACCATATTAAAGAACAGAACCTATGTCATGCAATTCTGCATTTGAAAGCTCACCCTTTGGGCAGCAAGAGTCTGACTGCTTTCTCGTAAAGCCAGAGATGTGAAGTACTGGACACACTGGTCAAGATCAGTCTGAGGTAAAGATACCAGCAACAATCGGAGCTCATCTTCTATAGCATAATCCTATGATAACACACACCAATAATTGTCAACATACTCTCCATATGCAGCAGGACATTATGTGAAAAAAAATAAGAATCTGGAGCAATGGAAGTTGTTACATTAAGCAATGACATAAAATAAAAGGCCTGGTTCATGTGCTCTGTAACCTAGAATTATTAGTTAATGTTTGCAAAGCACTTTGGGGGTGAAGAGTGCTACAAAGAGCCAATTTATTATTATTGGTGGAAAAGTCAGTCAATGAAAGTCAGGTTTAAATTTCTAGATTTAGGCCTTATTCTATTCCAAGAGAAAAAAAAACAAAGGAGCAGTTCTTATTGACCCATGTTACAGAAACTGGATAAATTAAGCTTGGTACAGCCTGAAATTTAACATGGTAATCCCCATGTAACTAATGCCGCAGATTAAGGAAGTACAATTGTATTAACCAAAGTATTCGTGCAAATATTAACTTTAAAAAAATCTACGTAACACCCTGGCCATGGATGGGAAAACACAGTTACAGTGAAGAGAAGTTACCTGGCCAGGAACTCACAGCAAGGATTAGAACAAATGCAAGCTAAGGGGCAAGGCGCAAGATTTAGAGTTTATGACTAGTGAGTTCCAAGCCTATACCTGATATTGCTTCCATGCGTATCTGGCTCATTGTATTTACTTATGAAGTACTGTGAAGAAGAAAAATCCTTATCTATAATCTAGCATATCAGAAGATGTAACGTGTCCTGATTAATCTAGGTCCTATACTTCAAGAGTAAGACATGTGGGTACTGGTAGACCCATATAATAGCTCCGGGGCATGCAATTATTTTGGGCAGATGGCTGCTTACTGAGTTTTGGCAAGGTGTTGAGGGCCGCATAGGTAGCCCCACCCCTTGACAGGTGCCCCACCCCCTGACTGCCATTTTGTGAATAGAAGTCCCGCCCTCTAACCGCTGACCTTTGCCACTAAAACCCTCCCCATGCCCCTGGAAGTACTCCTTTCAGCAAGGTGTTTTACCATCTTGGAACCAGAAAAATACCAAATTATATTCTAAAAATCTAACATCTACAACATGTATTAATTTGATTTCAAAAACATTTTTGTCCTGATTTACGTACGTTTGTGTAGTGTACACAGAG